CAGCAGTTCTGACTCACGTAAGTACGTTTTCTTTTATCATTTGCCACTGATGATTCAAACGCGAGTTTTGGGCAGTAGAGTAGCATTTGTTGTTTGTAATTTCTCTGATCACAAATGCAGACAGGGTTTTATGTTTATGAGGCACGATGCAATGCAACGCAAAGCGTAAAAAGACAGTATAAGTCATTATAATCAGTAATTATGTCCCCACTGGATGCAACAAATGCCTCGTTTATAATGGGTTTTAATGTTTTTGTCTCGTCGCTCCGGCTGGACAGGGCATCATCACAGTATGTAAGGGGCGTAACATTTCCATCACACGCTTGAGGTATTCGGCCAATCACAACGCACTGGATAGCTGGCCAATCACAGCACACCTTGCTTTTCAGACCGATGAGCTTTGTAAAAACCAACGAGTTTCAGAAAGGCGGGGAATAGAGGAGAAACAATAATGTACATTATGTGGAAAATAATGTGTTTCTTTTTACTTTAAACCGCATAAACACATTTCATTACACCAAATACACAAAATAATGTTCTTTTTAGCAGCATCAGATGACCCCTTTAAAATCACGTTAAAGTGTACTTTCTATAAACTTGTTAGAACACTGAGCAAATTGAATCTAATGTATCATATGGGTCTGATTCAAAATGACATACACTACACATAAAAACCAAGATGTATAAATTATATATTAGCCATATTATTGAGTCTTACCTACAACACTATTACACTGGCAGTTGGATGACCCCTTTAAAATCACGTTAAAGTGTACTTTCTATAAACTTGTTAGAACACTGAGCAAATTGAATCTAATGTATCATATGGGTCTGATTCAAAATGACATACACTACACATAAAAACCAAGATGTATAAATTATATATTAGCCATATTATTGAGTCTTACCTACAACACTATTACACTGGCAGTTGTTCAGAGAGGAGCACTAAGCTGTGCCACTGTACCAGCTGGATCAAAGGGAATCACTGAAGCAAAGTCCAGAATACACTGATACAAAGAGAACAAGGCAGGCTTTGTTTTGAGGAGCAAACAAACATATAGAATGCTGTTGTTGTGGTTTGGGGCGGAGGACTAAATAGAAGTATACTTATAGTATAGGCTACCCTATTATCCATGTGATTCTGAATTTATTTGATTTTATTTCTTAAATATATGTTGTTGTTTTTTGGCGTTATTTAATTATTTTAATCTAGTCTTAAAGGGAAAATGGCTTTTGCTACACTGACCACATACTGCTACCATGTGGTGTAAACCATTCCATACAAACACCATTCAACGTTCACGGTTCCAGTTCTTTAACAAACAAAACAAAAAAAATACTCGTTTGCCTAATAAGCAAAAATCCCCTTATTTTGACAACTTCTGCCTGTTCTTCTGCAGTTTCGATTGGTCTTAATTTGCTAATGTGGATAGAACAAACTCAAAAAAGCAAATAAGAGTCACAAGGAAGGCACGTCCACTTATACATTAATATAAATATTATCATAAAAAAGCAAAAAGTCCATATCATAGACACTTCGTGTATCGACTACCCTTGAATTGTCTCGACGAGCTTTAAGTTTTTAAGTTACTTTTAAAACAGGACGTCGTGGAGGGACATAACGACAGGCTCACCGCTTTTTAAATAACCAATAACCTTTACATCTTACGTTTTATTTCTGCACCGTAAAAATAAATGACTCACTTTTACATTAGCCTATCTTATTTTATTCCGCTGCTCCAGCTCCGGCTCCAGCTCCCAGTCTGTGTTGTTGAGTGACATCTACTGACACTACAGCCGAGACGTGCTAGATAATATGAAGATTATAGCCTACTACAGAAATGAAAGTATTGATTCCTATTACTGTTTCATACATTTGATTTAGTTTTTTTTTTTTTTTTGGTACTGTGTTTGTTCACAGAGAAAAAGAGATTGGCAGAATTGATCATTTATCCTCACTTTTATTTTAGATAAAAATAAAACCTGCCAGTTAAATTTTTTTTTTTAATTAGGCCAGAAACGTTTTTAATAATTTGGTTCCATGTTATTTAGTAAATCATTTTGATATGTTAGAGATCAGCATACCTCACTAGGAATTACTGTACAATATTTGCCAATAAATCTATAATTGCCTATACAATTGCATGGAATAAATTGCCAGTGTTATTAAAACCCTCTATGGTATGCATTATGTTCTAACCATGAAATATATATTTTTAATACGCTTTTATTTTATGAAATAGCTTCAATTGTACAAATCAAAACAAAGATTTTTGGGGGGTATTTAGGAAAACTTTGCCATATGGCAACAGTGTACCACAATGGAAAATGGCAAAAAAAAGTAGTTTTTCTATTAAATTATGATTTTCTTTTCAACTGAAATGCATATTTCTTTTAGAAATTGATGCATCCAGTCTTAATTTCCATGTAAATCTGCCACACATACATACAGACACATATACACATGCACACACACACACACACACACACACAGGTTTGTTTTTATGGTTTATGGGGACTCTCCACAGGCGTAATGGTTTTTATACGGTACAGACCGTATATTCTACTGCCCTACACCAACCCTACCCCTAAACCTACCCCTCACAGGAGACTTTCTGCATTTTTAGATTTTCAAAGAAACTCATTCTGAATTATTTATAAGCCTTTTGAATTACGGGGACACTGAAAATGTCCTCATAAATCACCTTCTCGTTGTAATACCTATGTCATACCCATGTTATTATACAAATTTGTGTCCTCATAAACCACATAAACACGCACACACACACACACACACACATACACGTATCCTTAGTCACTGAAGGCTAACTCATCCTCATTGTCATCACATGGAAGAGCCACTCTGCACTCATCCTATTGCCCTTTCCGTTAAATATTGCTGTATTTCTTTTCTGAAAAGAATAAATAATTTTCTTATTAAAAAATAACAACAATTAAAATAAAATGAAATATCTAAAAAGAAAACATATATAATGGTAATAATAAAATAATAATACAAGTTTTTTAAAGTTTTGTGGTCTATGGCACATGAAATCTTTAATATTTCACTTCCTTTTTGCATGAGATATTTAAGTCTGTCATATCACACTCAGTAAACTGTGAATGTGTGGTTAGATGTTTAGTGGTAGCTATGAGAGAAACTGCAGTTTGGTTTGGTCTGTTTTCAAGTTCATTGGCTCAGCATGTTAAAAGAACTGTTGCTACCGGTGATAGATTTTTATACAATTAGCATGAAATTGCACTATCATTATATACCTCTCTTTTTTTTTTTTTTTTACAATGTCCTTATTTATATATTGTATAGGTTGTATTTTATATATATATTTTAAACTGTATTTATCTGTATTATGTCTACTGTTATTAAGGGTCTGAGAGTAACGCAATTTCAATTCTCTGTATGTATGTGCTGTACATGTGGCAGAATTGACAATAAAGCTTTGACTTTTGACTTTGATACCAACAAACTAAAGGCTGCTCACTTTTGTCTGATTTGCTGTTCAGTCTCATGGACAGCTTTAAAAGGATGTTACTCTCAAAACTAAAAAATCAGTTTAATTTATGAATTATATGTTTAATTCATTTATTAGGTAATGACCTTCGTGTAATTTCCAAACTCATATGACTGTGCAACGCAAAAGGAGACGTTTCACAGAATATCAGTGCTGTTTTTTTGCAACATTTTATTTGATATAAAAGTATCTGAGTTTGAAATGAACAAGAATAATATTTGTTTTCCTTTCATCATCTAAAAGTGTTAAACACATGGACTTATTCTGCCATTTTATTATCTTCTACTCTTATCATATGTATAGCATTGCATAAAAGCAAGTATGAACAGTGTGGGATTTTATATTGTGGGGCCACAACACAACCATGTCAGAGGCAACGCAAACAAAACACCATGCTTTTCATAATGACACCAGCATCCTGTGTGAGTTTTACACTAATGCTGCTTTTCCCATTATTCAGAAGCAGTGTTAACTTAACAGTTTAAAACGAGAGCAAGCTCAGAGCAAAACAATATTAATTTGTTTATTAATGTAATAATTACGAACTTGCACAATTGGTGGCTGACTAAATACTTTTTTGCCCCACTGTATTTAGCTATAATGTAACATATTTTAGGTTATTTTTCATCAGGCTCTGTGTCTTTTACTGGTTTCTTGTTCTTGATAATATTTTCATTTCTTTAATTTGGGACTCTTGAGCTTATACACACCATAATATTAATACAAAAATCATGGCTGAAATTCAAACAGATTTATAATAATAATAAAATGATGTTGTATACAATTATTTGATATGTTGTTTGAAATAATTGAGAATAACATTTGACTTCCCGTCTGCTTTTTGCATTTCAGACCTAATCTAATCTCAGTCTAACATAGACTTCAAATTCTTTCACTTCTTCTTTACATTTTCTGTTGATGTTAAAATTAGCTGTATTGGTTGTGTAGGAGCCATATTTCATATTTCAGAATTTATACGTTCACATTTTTATTTTATGTAAATTTGGTACAATAATTGTTCTTGTTAATAAGTCATTTACTGTAGAATATATTTATTTGGTTTATATTTGTTCTTACTGCGCATGTTCAGTGTCGTCATCTTTTGTAGTTCAAGTAAAAAGATATTGACGCACATGCACAAGTTCAGACGAACGGTGGGAGAACACAAGCTTTTGACCGTTTCATAATTGTATATGATATAGCATAAATTGGCTTACAAGTATAGTATCTCTACAAATAAGTTGTTGAGAAGATATCACTGAACAAGAGGATTATGCTGTATTTGAGAAATGTGATTCTTTATTGACTTGGAAGAATAAACCACGATAAAGGAAACTATGGACTTCGAGTGATGAATACAAGATATTCCCGTCAAAACTTGTGGAATAACTAAAATATATTCACATGTCCCGTACAGGTTGTAATGGGCAGAAGTTAAACTGCAGTTTCCAGTGAGAAACTGTGACTCCACCACAACTGCAACAACTGGTCACTCTCATCTGGGTTGCTGTTTAGTCTCATGAAAAACTATTTAAGTTGTATACAATTATTTAATAGGTTGTTTGAAATAATTGAGAATAACATTTTACTTCACTTCTGCTTTTTGCATTTCAGACCTAATCTAATCTCAGTCTAACATAGACTTCAAATTCTTTCACTTCTTCTTTACATCTTCTGTTGATGTTAAAATTAGCTGTATTGGTTGTAATGGGCAGAAGTTAAACTGCAGTTTCCAGTGAGAAAACTGTGACTCCACCACAACTGAAACAACCGGTCACTCTTATCTGGGTTGCTATTTAAGGTAAACTATTACATTTGTTTTGAATTAGAAATTATTTCATTGCAAATTGTTACAACTGTCAAGAGACAGACAATAAATGATATCGTGTACATTTAAACTTGATTTCTAAAAACACAGCTCACCTCAGATGACTCTCAGAATGTTTGCTACAGATCTTCTTGTATTCAGCTCTATTCTATCAGGTTGGTATTTTTTCCTGTTTGCATATCAAAGTTTGACAATCAAAAAGTTAATTTTATATATTCATTTTAGACACACACACATACATGTACATATTTATATATATAGATATAGATATATATACAGTATATATGTGTGTGTGTTATATTTTTTTAAGCTATTATTAAGTCTAATTATAGCACATTTGTATTCCAGCTGCTTGGTGTCAGTCAGTCCTGAGAGTATCACACCCCAAAACCCTCAACAGCATCAGCGGCTCTTGCCTTCTGATTCCCTGCCTATTCAACATTTCAAAGGAGAAAGAAAGCATTCTTGACAATTCACCAGTAGTAACATGGAGACGAGGATCTCTGTGGAGACTCTATGATACAGATCGTTTCACCATCGCTCACCATCAGATGGGACCTGTGATGGAAGTGGTGGGTGACCTACGAAAGAAGAACTGCTCTACTGTCATGAGGAACCTCAGCAGGCAGCATTCAGATCGTTACATCTTCAGGATTGAAACTAAGACCTTCACTACGACCGAAACAAGAGCTGTGTATATAAATGTGTCAGGTAAGGCAGAGCAAATGTTTCGATAATAAACCAAGACATTACCAGCACCAAGTGTTTTCAGTGGCCTCAAATCTTTGAAAAATGTCAAGAGTTATGACGAGGCACAATTATCTAGATATACAAGTAGTTCTACAAAAATTTAATTGAGTTAGTTTTTTTTTTTTTTTTTTTTTACAGTCGTTAGGACCCATTTCTCAATATTAGCTCACTTTTTCAAAACAATAAATTGTTTAAATCTATTATTGTAGAAATGTAGTAAATTGCTATCTTACTCAGTTTTTATTATGTTTTGAGCTTAAACGAAGAGACTGTGTTAACGTACAAATTGGCCTGTAGGTTCATTGAGTTTTGGAGGTCATTATGTTCAGAATTCATGTAATGTTGAGTTTTTTGTAATCATTTTGTCACCAATTTCAGAACCAGAATTTTTCAGAACTCTAGGCACAAAACTCAAAACAGTCATTATTTGTAGCACAGGCTGTCCAATGTTCAAAATGTAGCATGTTGCATTTATATCTTTAAAGAAGCCTTGCATTTGCAGAACCATTGGTTCAAGTAATTCATTTATCTTGAAAACCAAATGCACGTTACTTTAGATCACCCACACAATGTGTAGTGTTAGTACAATCATTAAATATAGTTGTACAAAATGCATTATGCAGGTTTCATTATGGTTCTACATAATTATACATCATTGTAATAGACTA